CAGGTGGGGGGGGGGGGGGGGGGGGGGGAGGCTGGAGGCTCTGTGTAGTGGGGGTTGTTGGAGGAGGATGGCTGATGGGTGGTCTCCCCAGAAGTGAGCCGCCCCCAGCCATCTTCTGGGACACAGCGCATGGTACTGGGGTGGGAAGGATGTCTGTGCAGTGGGGGATTTGGGCAGTTGGCCGAGGATTTTTCTTTGGACACTCTTGCGTCTGTTCCCCACAGAGAGTTAAACCCGGAGTCCCCTGTGCATGGGGCATGGAGGAGGATGGCTGATGGGTGGTCTCCCCAGAAGTGAGCCGCCCCCAGCCATCTTCTGGGACACAGCGCATGGTACTGGGGTGGGAAGGATGTCTGTGCAGTGGGGGATTTGGGCAGTTGGCCGAGGATTTTTCTTTGGACACTCTTGCGTCTGTTCCCCACAGAGAGTTAAACCCGGAGTCCCCTGTGCATGGGGCATTGGGGATATGCAGATGCAATGGTTGTCTCTATGCATTAGGGACTTGGGGGGGTGTTGGCATCTCGCCATAGGCCTCCCATCTCTCCCTCCCGCCCCCGCAGAGAGAGACTGCCCCAAAGCACCATGGGCTACTGGGTGTGGTGTAATGGGCTGGGGGTGTCAATGTAGGGGATTATTGGGGGGGATATTGGGGCATATCAGGGTGGGAGCTATGAGTGGCATTGGGTATGTAGTAGGATTATTGGGGGGGGATATGGGGGCATATCAGTGTGGGAGCTATGAGTGGCATTGGGTATGTAGTAGGATTACAGGAGGTGTGGATGTGGTATATCAGGGTAAAGGCTCGGAGGGTCTTTAAGCAGTAGAAGTTACAGGGGTATGAGAGAAGCGTATCAGAGTGGAAACTATGGGGGTGTCTGTGCAGTGGAGATTGGGGTATGGGTAGGAGATATTGGGGGAAGCCATTTGGGTATCAGGTGTAATGGGGGTCTCTGTGCAGTGTGGGTTGTTGGGGGTATGAGTGAGACTATAGGGGTATCAGGGATGCAATGGGATCTCTCTGCAGTGGAAGTTATTGGGGTATGTGTGGGGAGCTGAGAGTGGGATGTAATGGAGGGTTGTAATGGAGGGTTTCTGCACGGAGGGTGAGACATTTATGGGTGGGGCAGAATGGGGGGCTATGGATAATATTGTGGTATAATGGGTCTCTCTGAAATGGGGGATATTGGGTTATGGGTGAAGTGTATTGGGATGGGACATGGGTGGTATCAGATGTAATGGGGGTCTCTATGTAGAGGGGCATGAGTGTGGCATTTCAGGGTGAGAGCTGGGGGTCCCTATGCAGTGGAGGCTTGTGTATTGGGATGGGGGTGTTATTAGGGTGCAGTTGGGGTCTCTGTAGTGGGTTATTGGGGTATGGATGATATTGGGGTGGCCTCCCTGCATACTCACCCTTGTCTCCTCCCAACAGTGAGCTTTCCCCTGACCTCTGCAGCCCCCCATGCTGCCGAGAACCATGGAACACTGCCTGTCTGCTACCCATCTAAGGAGTCAATACTGAGTGGGGTGGAGGTGGAGCAGGAACCCCATAGTGGGCGGACCAGCGTGATGCGACGGACTACGGTCCTGGCTCTGCTGGCCGTGGTGCTGGCCTACCTGGTGAGCGGTGCCTTCATCTTCCGCCTGCTGGAGCAGCCCCATGAAAGCCACCAGCAGGAGGCTCTGCAGGCTGCCCGTGAGCAGTTCCTACAGAGATACCGCTGTGTGCCCAGCCAGGAGCTGGACCAACTCATCCTGGTGAGATGGTGGGAGAGGGGCATGGAAGGGACAGGTCTGGGGAGTGGATGAGGTGGGATGGATAGACATGGAGGAGGCAGGTGTGGGGAGTGGATGGGGAAAGGATGGGTTAATGAGTATGGAGGGGGAAGTTTGGGGGTGTATAGACATGGAGGGGGCAGGTGGATGGGCAAGGAGGGGGCAGGTGTGGGGAAAAGAATGAGGATGGAGTGAGGTAGATGAGCATGGAGGGGGCAGGTACAGGGGTGTGTGGGGCAGGTGGAGTGG